TATATGATGTAATTAAAAATTTACGGTTTTCACAATTTACACACAGATAAGGGAAATCTGTACTATAAGACGTTACTTCGTACCAAATTTCAAGATTCTAAGTTCACGGGAAGTACCCTGTAGTTTTTGATTCCCGTGCGAGTTTCGAAAATTTGCGGCATAAACGGCTGTATCTTTTGATTACTTTGGCTTAGAAGTTCGATTTTTTCACAGCTCCAAGGGACAGTAGACATGAGTATTAGATATGAATTTCAGTTTGATACTTCCACGCGTTCATGAGAAAAACGGTCTTGACAGACGGACGGACGGACAACAAAGTGATCCTATAAGGATTCCGTTTTTTCCTTTTGTACCTCAAAAGGAACCCTGCATGAAAATGCATTCAATAGTTTGAGATCAATGTGTAAAGGATGATATCACTAATCTTACCTTCAATGTAACCAGTGGGAAAACCCTTGACAAAAATGAATATATTGTTTTTTTTTTAATATTCGTCCTAAAAATAGAAGAAAAAAATATAGCTTACTATTTATACGGAGAAACTAATTTTAAAAACAGTTACACTATTTCGTTGTGACGAATTTCCAAGAATGATGATGAATCTACTACTTTCAAATACACAAGTAGCAAATACGAATAGCCGAATGTAGTGCTAGCACAAACAAATTATTTAGCTATTTACTTTGAATTCTATCTCTTCGTTTTTGTAGTAAGTAGTACCAAATGCATATGAATAAATGTCTGCATCCTGTTATAATAAGGGTTTTATTCAATGTTGCACGATAAAAAACTAAACCAGCATTGCTGTTTTAGGTTGCCATATGAAAGACTTGATTTGATTATCATGTGTTTTGGCAGATTTCCGCTTCTACGTATCGAATATCTTGACTTTTCATATTTCTGTATGGAAACTCTGTATATATGTGGAGACTAAATTTAGATGTCTTTTTCTTGTTAGTTGGAAATAAAGTCTAGGTCAGTTCAACAGCTTTTATTTGATTTCATTTTTGTTACGAGAGTTCACAGTTGAAAAATGTGTGCATCTAGATGTCCGTCCGTTTTTGTTATTCTACTGTTTGTTACTGTTGGTCTCCCTTATTATTAATAAACCATCGATTTCATTCTCGATAAAGCCGAGGATGAGGAAATTATACAGGCACGTCAATTACGATGCATAAAAATTCCAGATAAAAAATCCTTCAGCAACATATAGCTTTGGGTCGTGAAGTTTACATAAAATTATTTTTTTGTTAAATAGATCTACTTTATCAATATGTTGATTGACTCTAGGTGGTTATATTCTTGTTTCTTTTTTTTATGATTTCATTTCAGTCATATGTCTTTATCAGTTTGTGACAGCAATAATATATATTGATGTTGTCGAATTCTTTTTCATAAATTGCTTGTACCCTATAAACGAGATGATTTACCATTCGAACTGTGAATTCTGCGTACTATCCTCACACCCTGCATTTAGGGGTGGGTTGGGTATCTGGAGTAGGGTTGGGGTCTGGGGTGTGCCAGTGACTGTTGGCGGTCCCGCCTCCTGCAGCATACAGAGACGTTCAGGGCGGTCCGGACGCACACTGCGCTCCTGCGACCTGCCGATCCCATCCGAGCTAGGTCGGCAATTCAGATATCGCCGGGCAATCATCGGCTGCGTATCGTCTAGTCTCATTTTGTAGTGATCACATACTTACGTTGCATTTGCATTCTCACAACTACCAACTGCATTTATAGCTCTTCATACTTTTCCGTGTTTTTTAACTTTAGGGTAGTGCACAGTTCCCCACTGTTTAGTATTAGAGAAGTTCATACTTTCCCGCTTTTTTCGGTCGAATACCAAAAACAATATGACGCGTCGTAACTTCAGCGATGTGAACGAGCTTACCAAGTGCCTGGAGGAATTAGATGATCTGTTGAATGACGACGAGGAGCCAGATTACGTATCGATGTTCAATATTATGGTTATAATCGCAGTGTTTCAATTTTTACTGTATCAAAGGATCCTTTTCCCGAGTAAAGATCCGTCATTGTAAACAAGTTATAAGTCAATAAGTTTTACCTTAGTTAGGGGTAATCGTTAGCCGGCTGCAACGCACGTGCTCAAGGTGAGTAAATTGGAGTAATAACTTTCGTTAACTATGTTATTCCAGTTGTTTCAAGCGTTTGGGTTGTCAAAGATTATACAAAACTAGCAAACCCCGCGAACTCCGTTTCGCCACCAGATGGCTTCGTTTTATGTAACATTTCGTTTGGTGATTAAAAGAAGTTTTTTTAAGTTTTTCCTGAATTTTCTTTGCTATAAACCTCACGGAGCCCGAGACCTTTCCAACGAATGCAAAACCGTGGAAATCGGTTCGTGCGTTCTGGAGTTATAGCGTCAGGAAGGAAAACCCGACTTATTTTTATATAGTAGATAAGTACATAATTGTTAATTTGTATAGAGAAAGGAGGAGGATATTTTAAAATGGCTTTGTAGACTCGATTTACTGGGAAAATACTCGCTAGGAATTGAATGTTTCATAAATATATAACCAGTCCATTTTCCAATATACACTGCATAGCGTAATTAGTTTTTGTAAACATGATACTAAATTGAATTTGATGATTGATGATACGTACAACATTATTATGTTGATTGATAGCATAGGAGGCGTGTGCAAACTGTTTTGTTTTACTTTATCTTAACAGCAATAAAGAAATTTTGAAAATTTTCAATTATAAAAAAATATGAGACTGGCATGAATGAAACATTCAACTCCACACTTAGACGGTCTAAATATCCTGAATGGCCGACGGGCGTAGGAAACTTGCGCGCTGCCTTCCAGAATCCGTCCCCACTCTGCCTCGGCTCGTGCATCCATTTCTGACCTTGCGGCCCTGTAATTAGTGACGCGGATGCATCGGCAAATACAGCCGCTGTTTGATCCTAAATATTGATTTCCACGGTGCACACTCACCGATACATAACAGATTAACACAGCCAGTCTAGCCTTGTTTTGTTTTTCTCTCAAATGCCGTGGCATTAGGTTTGGTATAGTTTTGTACGAATTTTTAGTGTTTTCAGCCGAGTCCCATTTTGCTCAATTTCGTACGCGGTAAGTGTCGCCTGTTCCATTCAAGTTAAAAGCAGATTTATGTAGCGTGTATTGGTCTGATAATATTGGTCTAAAATAAATAATTGATGATCGAAGCTCAAAAACTTCCACAGGTTCAGTTTATTTAAAAAATTTAGTTCATTTGATAATATTACTATCTATGAAATAACATTGACCGATTTATTATTCTATAGGTATTTGTAACAAATGTCACATATGAGTTTTGTTTAGTTGAAGTGGAGAAGAAGATGAGAGGCGGCCTCTGTTTAGGTTGTCTTGCTGTGTCCATTTTCTATTTCGAATGCAACAAAATGCTAAAAAACTGTTTTCGCTAGTTTGTTCCCTTTTTTAGCATAACAAGGCTGCACGAGCTCTAAATCTTTTGCCTCCCAGTAGGAAAGATTTAGAAGAAGTAAAAAGTGACAGCTCTAACTTCACGATGTCTCCTTTTACAAGAACAATGGCATAATTTTAAAATCCATTTTAATTACAGATAATCTTTCATGATTACTAATTATTTTTGTAGGTAAGTATTTACTTTTCAATATTTTAATTCACATGTTGGATTTTAAATAAAACGAAGCTTCAACGGTTTAAATGCGTTAATTTATTTGTTTCTTGACGGTTTGCATCCTTTTGCAGGCTACGTCGTCAGAATTATGATCTTTATTTACTTTGTCGAACTACCTTCGGAAGACTTTTATTGAGCGTTCGGATACTTCATTGAAATTTTTATTGTGTATGAATGTATGAATTTATTAGCTAATTTAATTAATAAAGTATTTTATTTACTGAATACTTTTTATTTTGGAGTTTACATATTTATTTGACCCTAACTACCGTAAAGTACCACCAGTTCCAAAATTGGGAGATCTTTCTGAGAAGAACTGGCGAAACAAAATCCGAGTGGTTTTGTCTTCTGCTTATGTTAAATCATGTAAAAAAAGAACTACTAGTATCTGTTGGTCGGTGATCGGGGTTGGGATTTTATCTGTTGTATAATGGGTTCCTAAGCTGGTGGAATATTTTTTTATGGACTAATAAACATAAGTAAATTTCGTGAGAACGTTTTCTAAAACTTGTTAAATACTTTATTATTGTGATAGGTCCGGCGCCTAAGTACTTTTCTTTAAATTTAAATTCTATTGACCCTTCCATTGTTTTTCCATTTAACTTTTTTATATTACGTATTTTGGTTTAATTACAGGTTCTGTTGTTTGTAGTGTATCTACTAGTAACTTAAAAATGTTTGAATTAGGGTAAAAATTAAAAAAAAATCTATATAAAGAATTCCAAAAATGACTTGGTGTTTTTTTTATTATTCATTTAATTTTGCTTATTACTTCTTGAAAGGCTTCGCTAATCCAAAGATAGATAGGTAGGTACTTTTCAAATAATATATTATATTTATATTATACACCGTGAATATTGAGTTACCCCAGCAACTTAAAAAATACGTAAATAAAAATAGTGCCAACAGTAATAAACAGTAAATGTACTCCCATACAGAAATATTGATTTATATTGTTTACAGAATATCCTAAAACCTTATTATGGAATTATTATCCGTTTAAAGTACATAGATCCTAAAATTGGTTTCATTTGAATCAATTTATAACAATTAAGGTTCTTAAGGTTTCATAAATGCACAATTAGGGAGAAGTAACATTTTTAGTGGAGACATTTATCGAAAAAAATAATTAAAGAGGTTTTTTGCGGAAATATAACCTAAATGTTCGTCTCAATTAGCTATTAAATTTTGTCAAGTAACTCCAAATTCACGTTTGTTGTATAAACCTTTAAATTATCATTTGCAAAACGCAAAAACAACGCAAAGGATTTTTTTTCCTGGCTGCTGACGCTGTTTTGACAACTAATTTAAGCGGGAAAATTTGACAGGGTCCGACCGCGAGCAATGGCCGTAGCGTGCAGCCGGCTAGCGAAGATGACATGGTAGACATAACACCGGGACTTCAACGCGCAGCGGACTCCACCACACCCACCAGCCACGGCACCTTCCAGTTGTATGAGCACGCCGGCGCTGGCACACAGAGGAACTCCGCCGCGAGCGCCAATTGTGAGTACCTAACTAATTCTATACAGATTGTCAGTGGTTGTATCCCTAAGTATAATATAATTTTGGTTTCTTTATCCTGCTTGTATTAGAAATGTTCTTAAGGTGAAAACGACATCATCATAATATTTTTAATTGCTATAAAATTTGCCAGAGGGTTAAAAGCAATGCTCTAGGTGGAAGATTAGCAGGTGAAGGGTGGGCAATTATCAAAAGCTTACAGGGCTGCTCCAAAGGATACATTCTTTGCTCTATGCAATTCTGCCCAATCTTGTACCTTTACAGTCAATTTTTTTGTTGTTGCCAATGTTTTTAATTTTAATATTAATTTTAATTAATTTTAATAATAATTTTGCCAATTTAAGTCTAATTTGAAATCTAAAATTCAAGAAAGTTTGTTTTTAATTAAGCTTATAACTATTTCACATATCAAAGAGATTATAGGACTGTTTTATCATTGGCAAAACTTCTGAAATGTCCAAATTCTGTCGAATTAAAAATCAGAGTAGATATAGTACAGTTATGCATTTATGTGAAATACACCGAATTCATTGAAAATATTAAAAATGGAATTTATAAACCACTTGTTCCGCATTGAAATTAAGTTTAAACATTTAGGTAAGTGGCAACACAGATAATATGTTATAGTAATGTGCATCTTTAAATTAATTAAAATAAGCTACGGAAATCATATTACAATAAACCTGATTAGCAAAAGCATGAATATGACAATAGTTATTTATGATTAGTGCGGTTAGTTGGTTATTACAAACGAGTAGAATTACATTCGGTAAAAATAGAAAATAACTAAAAGGATTGGCTAAAAGACTATAAACCAAAGCTCTTAAATGTCACTGTTATATCCATAGTTAAGTACAATGTGACGAAAACAGACAAGTGAGGTTTTTGGCGGGATTTGATCGAGTGTGGTTGGCGTCTTATTTTAATTATTCTTAAATTCGTTCATAGTGGATATTGTGAAATAAAATTGGTGTGATTTTGTGTTACAACTGTCGGCGTAACTGAAGAATTAGTAGAATCGTCAAAATATACGCTATTCCGGTCAAGTGGACGTGAGAATTTTATTGTAGTATTGACTACCGCACAGAAGCTTATCGAAAAAGCCAGCTCGATACATTTCGTGCCAAACACTTCAAGAAACATTAGAATGCGTCACACCGGCATTCTAATGTAAAAAGAAAAACAGAATAATTTAACTTATGACTAGGCTGTATGGGCATTGTTCCCCTTGCCTTCCCTGAAAAGGGAGAATTTAACAAAAGAAAAACAGACAAGTGATTTTTGATACAGCCAATCACAATCAATGAAATTAATTTAAACCAGGACTGCGTTCAATACCTATACTCTGAATGCAACTTTTTGACCAATTATCGTTCCAAATCCTGGGGTGACAGTTGATTTGACAGATGGTTGTCGCCATTTGGTTGTTCCCGTTGTTCCGACCTTTGATGGTTGCAACTTTTTAACCGTTTCAAGAGCGGTTTAAAAAACTCCCTGACATTGAAATCTGTCATAAATAAGCGCGAAAATTTTGAATAATGACAACAATGACATGTTTTGATGTAAATACCCTTTTGGTTATTTAGAAGTATTTAAACCGCCATAATCTGTTTCTACCGAGCAGTTTTTCTCTTGTCTCTTTCTCTACGGGACATTGGCGAAATTTCTGTGAGAAACGGAGAAAGCCACAAATACAAAAAAAAAGCTGTAGATATTTATTATTTTACTCATATTAATTTGCATAAGTGTATATAGAAAATTGTAGGCATCAAGAAGACGTAAAATTTATATTAGGTAATTTCGAGCCACCTCCGCGAAGAAGATAACAAGGAAAGATTAACAAATGTTTAATCAAATTAATACTTATAAAGAAGAAAAACTTTTACTTTGAATAGCGAAATAAGGTGTAGTTTAGTAATTTTACTGAAACCAGCGCCTTTAGTTTTCAAAAAATCCCCCGCTTTGATATCGACCTAAAACGACTAAAGTCGTACAACAGAGGTGTTGAAGACAAAGGTTTTGTTTATCCCAAGTTGCATTCTCTAGGGGTATTGGACGCTGCCCAATTTTATTAACTGTCATCTGTCAGTCAATGTCAAATTGCGTCTAGGTAATAACGTTTCTTTCTACGCAAATACCCATTTTCAAATTATTTTAATTAAAATTTTTACCAATTTCTTTAGAATATATTAAGGTTTTGATAAGTTAGTCTTTTTAAGTATAATTTTAGTCACTTTTCGAAATAATTTGTACCTAGGTACACAATTGGGCAGAAATCGTCTCCTTCATCTGTAAATTCGGCGTAATGCAAAGCTTTATGTAAAGTTTCACAAAAAATATTATTTATTAAAATTTTGATATAGCATTGAGAGGCAGAGACCTCAAGGTCTATTTAATTTATTTGAAAGATTATTAATTTTAAGTTTTTTTATTTGAAGGTATTGGAGAAATCTTATGACTCAAACCACTTGGTGCATTTATTTCTTATAACATAGCGTCTGAACTAAAATGAATTATTTCTATTTTCAAGCTTACATCGCTCAATACTTCAGTTCTTCGACGGGTAAGAATACCTACTAATATAATTGTGGGTAGCTTTCAATGTCATCGGTGTCATTAATTAACTCTATCATTCATCACATCTGTTGTTATTTATTGTTAGCTCTTTTTAGTTTGGTTTTGTTTCATTAAACAGAGAAGTAATTTATCCAATGTTGTCTAAGTTCCTTAACATAAAGGAAATGTGAACGATTTTGGATAGCAACTGCTCTAGATAAGGCTCAAGCTGAAAGTTATTTTTGGTAACTGTATAGAACAGTAGAAGGGAAGAATTTTTGGAACAAGAGTTCGCCCCCTGTTGTCAAAACAATGATAGGTTGGTTACTATAATAATCACACTTTAGACAAAATTTCATTATATCGTATGACAACGTATCAATTAATTAGGCTGTTAGAGTATGTGGCGTATCCGTGAGGTGATTATCTGAGTCAAACTAAAAAGAAATAAGCAACACTCAAAAGCCATCGGGGCACTTTGAAAGAAAGGAGTCCAAATAAATAAACTTTTTATAGGGTTACCCTCGAGAGAGGAGGGCACAACATTTTGTGATATAAAACGTCGAGGCAAGAGTTTTAAACTTCTGAGAGGGACTCTGGGACTCATTTGTGAACATCGCCCATCAACATTGTCAACACAAAGAGCACTTAATAAAAAAATGGAATTAGTGCGTCGAGACCTCCGTGTTTTTAATGAGCTTAGATTTCCAAAGCTATCGATCGAAACCGATTATCCAAGGTATTCGAGACTCAGAGATTTATCACATTATTATTTTTATCTCATTTCGATATCTATAGAGAATCCCCAATCTATAGAGAAGGATCACAGAGCTATCCGCACGCGCCACTACACAGAATCATATTACACGAAATCATGTTCGCCCTTAAACAGTAAAAAAAATGGAATAGCCCTGGGTGAGGATGTATCACGTCTAATCTCTAGAAGGCGGGAGGAATTCTATTGAAAGAATTTCAGGAACTTTGAATACAGTTCTCTTTACTGGGATAATTCTTCAGGCGTGGCAAAGAACCGTGATCATTTTGTTTCTCAAGAAGGGTGACAAAAGCTTTTTAAAGACCTTTCGACCAGTATCGCACATTTAAAAACTATTTTCAAGGCTCATAACGAAACGTCTTGCGCGAAGGCTTGATGAGTTCCAACTTCCGGAAGAGGCCGTCCGTCGACAGGCTAGTTCTGGAGTGGAGACCGCGGATCGCCAAACGTAGTGTGCAGCGTCCAGCGACGATATGGGGCGACGATATCCGAAAAGCAGCGGGAAATGACTGGATCAGGAGTGCTGAAAATCGAGCTCAATGGCGTGCCACATGGGAGAGGCAGAACATCACTAACTAAATTGTCGCTGGAAAAAGTTTCTCAATCGGCCGGTAATACAGTTTGTTTACAGTGATTGCTAAAAAAGATTCTGGAAAGCAAGTGTTAATCAATTCTATCTGCCTACTTCTCCGACTCTCTCTCTTCTAATGGCTTATGATAAGAGTCCGGTAAATTTCTAAAAGGACCCACGTGTTCGGTGCGTGTGGATACGAATGTGTGTGTGTTGTTTATTTGTAAACATAAGTAACTACATCGTATTAGTAGTACAATACATTGTTTGGTCATCTGTACTTAACGATTGATAAGTTTCGCGAATTATTCATTGTTATCACTTTAGCTTATTGATTAGATAAATACCTACACTGAAAAAAACTACTGCCCGTTAGTATTAATTGTGACACCATTCTAGCTTCATGTGTGTGTGACAGTTTAATTATGAGTATTTCATCAGTCCTAACTAGTGAAAATGAGCCCCTTTTCAACGAAGTAGGTAAACCAATAACATATTAACATTTTAGGTAAATTTGAAAGTCTTAAATAATATAAGGGGTTTTATCATCTGCGAAACTGGTAGATATTTTAACATGAAATTATTTAAAGTTAACCATATTATTACTAATAAGCTTGTTCATACCTTTGTGCTTTTACTAACGACGACTAACTTAACATTCACAAAACGTATTGAATTATAATAAGAATTGCTTGGAACTAGTCATCGAAGCACGTGATTCGATGTCGTCACACGGTCACGAAGCCAAATTTCTTTTGTACTATTTCTTTACACAACGTTTAGTTTCGATCAGTAGCTATATTTACGAAATATACACAAAGTTACTTTCGTCAATTTCTAACTTTTATTAGGAGTCAATAACATTAGTATTAAAATTATAGCTATATTTATTCATACTTTTAAAATATGTAAAATGTTGACGTGATATAAGCAATATTTTTATAATCATTGAAATTGAAAAGTTCAGTAACACAACACTTAGTAGTTTACGCAGTATGCGGCTGGCAACACCAAGTTTGACATTTGACGTTTACAACTTCGCGTCATTGATTGATCTCGTTAGTTTTCCTTTGTTTTTATTAAAATAATCCAGTGATATTAGATTACATTATCAATCTGTTTATTAATTACATATTTAGAGGTGTACAGTTAGGGGTTATAAATTAACACGATTGAAATAAACACGTGAGAATTGCACTAACACAGGTATTCAGTCGTAGTGATGAAAGAGCCTGTTTTTGCTTTTTAATTTGCTTTACATCAGTGAAATATTGTTACAGGGGACGCAGTCATATTCTCAGGAATGCAAGGTGAGAATTATATTCAATTCAGATGTTATATAGTTCTTATTTATTTGAGAAGTTAGCAAGGCATATGCTTCGGTTTGGCAAGGGCGGTTTTGAAAGAAATTCCAGATGATTAAAAAAGGAACTGTTTCCATTGCAGTGATAGATGCTTTGTTTAATTTCTAAGATATCTAGTAGTATATGGAACATTAAAATATTTATAGACAGAAATTTTTCCCAACAAGCTGTCCTTTTTGTCATTAGAAGCTGTTAGTTCTCTCAACCTATGAATCGTTTGGCGGTTTCGAAATATACATCGAAGGCTATTGTAACAACTACTCTTAATTCTTATCTCCTCATGTAAATTGCTGTTGATAATATTATCAACATCAACAATACTGGTTATAGAACCAGACTAGTATTAGTTCCATGTGTAACAGTTACATATTTATGAACTATCAACATGTTTCTTAGTATCTTTATTGACAAATTGAAGATTGTCAATACAGATAATGAAAAAGAAATGTGGGATATACTGTACTTCCAGGGCCCAAAAGTAAAAACTTCACAGTTTTGTTGGTTGTAATTTCTCATTTTTGTTGTTAAAAAGGTTTCTGTTAACCACATTATTAAAAAAAATGTCACACTTATGCACTGGTAGTTTTTTAGAAAAAAATATTGAAAATTTTTACTCTTCTTATCAAGTGGTGATACTTCACACTAGGTTAGTGTTGTGACCATAACGCGCGAGCCGAGCGAGCAAAGCGAGCGTGCCGCGGCAGCGGCCGGCGAAGCGCCAGAAAAAAAAAATCTGTTATAAAGACTAATTCTACAAAAAAAAAACAAGTATCACCTTTTGGGCCCTGGAAGTACAGTTTTACCGAAATGTGATCTTTTTTATTATTAATATCATTCCACAAAGTATGAGCATTAAGTTTGAATAGTAATAGTTAAACTATAGTGTGTTTAATGTTTTAGTTTATATAAAATGTTTATTTTATAGGAGAGGATGATATCCCAGGAATTGGCCAGTATGATGACTTTCATACCATTGACTGGCAAAGAGACATTGCTAGAGACCGTATGAGACATAGATATATAGTTAAAAAGAGACAGGATTCAATATGGGATTTAATAAAAGTAAGTGCTATTGTTATTTAAACAATCAAAATCACTTGAGGATATTCCTACTCCTGTTATGTTAGTTTTGAGAGCTGTACCCCTAGCACGAACCATTATCGAATTCGAATAGTTTGCAAACCAATATATCAATGTCAAATTTTGTATGGAAACTTGAACAGCAGCTGCACAAAGTACGTAACGAGAACTAAAAATCAGTACACATTTGACAATGACTTGCAAACGATACGAATTCGATATTGATTCGTGCTAGGGGTACAGGAGCTTTTATTGTTTAATAGACCATATTATGTTTTATTTTTAATTTTCATTTTCTCTTATTGTAAAATTAAACACTTTATCATTTTGCTTGTTCTATTTTATTAACAAACAAAAGGTCAAAATCAAACATGATTTTAAAAATTGAAAACTTTATTGCAGTCTCTCTTTTTCAATCACTATAATGCTTAATATGGATTATACTGCTGTTAAATTTAGGTATAGAGAATTTTGCAATTAGTTTTCCTTATCACTTGATTTTTTTCCATTGCGTTAGTGGATAATATACATTAGATCACAGTTTTCATACTCGAGGTTGCATTTGTAGGGTGCACACGATGCTTGGTCAGGATGGGTGTGCGTGCTGCTGGTGGGTGTGTGCACTGGCGTAGTAGCAGGAGTCATAGACATTGGTGCTTCCTGGATGACAGATCTAAAGTTTGGGATCTGTCCACAAGCTTTTTGGTTCAATAGAGAACAGTGTTGTTGGTCAAGCAACGAAACAACGTTTGACGATGGCAATTGTTCCCAGGTTAGTTTAACACTTTACATTTACAAAAGAGTAGGCAACATGCATCATTTATCAGCTTTATATTATTGTTACCAAATGTTTTATTGATTCAAAGGTTTTTTAGCTTTAGTCACTAATCAATCAAATTGGTTATTACGAACAAAAGAATATACAATTAAATTAAATATTGGTCAAAAGTCCAAAAAAGTTCATGTTGCTTAGTCGCTCTATTGATGAGTACATATTAATATGTACTTGTTGTTATTGAATGAAAACTAAAGGTGTATTGTTGGTAGTGGCTGACGTGGCCTCAGGTGTTCGGGGAGTCGCGTGAAGGTGCTGGAGCGTACATCATCAGCTACCTGTTCTACATAGTGTGGGCGTTGATATTCGCGGCACTCTCTGCTTCCTTAGTGCGCATGTTCGCGCCTTATGCCTGTGGATCTGGTATGTTAAACACACACTACCACGCACACACTTTGAATAGCACTGTTTTTATACTGATATAGCCTTTTCATATTACTAGAATCTATTTTTTGTACTTGAAACATATTAGAGAGCCATAACGTGCAAAATACAAGAGCGTATTGTAAAGTAAAACTGTTATATTATTGTTGTTATCTAAATCATATAACCTTTATATTTTTGGTTGACTGTACAATATCCTCGAGCTCGATGGCGCAAGTAGTTAGCGCGTTCGGCTGCGATCGTTGAAGTTAAGCAACTTTCGTAGTGGTCGGTCATTGGATGGGTGACCAAAACTTCACTATCTCGAGCTCCTCCGTCCTTCGGAAGGCACGTTAAGCTGTTGGTCCCGGCTGCATCTGCAGTCGTTAGCACCCACCAAGCCGCACTGGGCCCGCGTGGTGGGTCATGGCCCAAACTCCCTATTCCATCCATAGGGAAGGCCTTTGCCCCAGCAGTGGGGATATTATAAGGCTGAAGATCAATGATGAAAAAAGATGAATGTACAATATCCAAGCTATAGAAAATTATCTATTGAAATGAAATTGTAAGAACACATTTAGCTAAGATATGTATTCCATGTTTTATAAACTAAGCCATGTTTAATGAACTATTGTAAAATATTGATAAATGATTTCACATTTGCAGTGATATAGAAATCATTTGGACTATTAAAATATTACCATTCTGGGAATACCTATGAGTTCATTTGTATATATTTATATTTCTAAATATACCTATTGATGATAGGTATTCTGTCATAGGATTATTTTCCTTGTTTCATTTATTTTGGCTCTTATTGGAGCAAGTGATAATTATATATGTGATGAGGTTGATTCACTGATATACACTAAATCTAAGGACATTGGGCAAAAATGTATGGACACTGCACCCACGTCCGCCACAGCTTACACTACATTTATTTGAAAGGTATTATAGTCATGATCATTTGTGCCAATGCGCATCAAATTCCATCCCGGGAGTCTTTAGTTATTTTAAATTAAATAGGTACAAATACTATAACGAACGAACATTAATAAAACAAGGGAATTAATTTAGTTAGTTTTACACTACATAGGGGGCTCAGGTATTATGGGAGTACTTCACAAGGTTCAAGGGTGCCCTCTTATGTTATTCTGCCGCACGAGAGTAAACCAAAAATCCCTGCATGGGTTGGGGTTTTTTCAAACATTCTGTTTGTTATAGTAAATTGTCTTCTTTGTAAAACGGAGCCACCATAAATCACCCAAACTTGTTCACGCTTCGGAGAAAACATGATTCCAGTTCATCCATACTAATTGACAAAACCGATAATTGTGTTTCAATTTCAAAAGCGTGTTAGATAAAAATCAATCAAGTGACAGGGGGGAGCGCACAATCACAACGAAGTAAGACGAGTCGACTATTTGCAACTGCAAGTCCTTCAACCCCCGTAAACTGTTTTGTGGTAGCTCAGTAAGTGCAAGCGCAGGACGGATCGGCAGGCTTTGTCGTATATCTGGTTGTATAGTACGATATAGCATATTATTATGGTTACTAATAATATAAAATAAAGGTACTATAAAATGAATTTATTTAGCTACTTAAATATGCCCATGTGTCATATCTTTTGACTACCAGGATATTTTTTACGGTGTCATATCTTTTGACTCCCAGGATTTTTTTTTACGGTGTCATAATAAAAAAGGCTAGTTTTTCATAGATCTATCGATTCATACTAATGTCATTGTTGGCGGAGCTGGGTGCGTTTTGCCCATTGTCCTTTATACAAATCACCGTGCTGTATTATTCTCTGTTTCAAAGTTCAAATAATACATTTACTTATCAGAATTAAGGGTTAGTTATGCCGAAAGTATTCCTTTTACCGGGAAATGAAGATGTACGACGTAACTGACATTTCTGAGAGTGGCAATTAAAGTTTTGCTTCTCTAATATGTTACAAGTTAATATCGTTACAGATTTGTTTAGCACAGAATCATAGTTGTATAGTTTTTGCCATTCACCAATATATGTGTGCCTTGTATAAAGATTTTTGGAAGAGATGGGGCGACAAAAATTTACACTAAGTTTATTTAGATCACTGAGTTACAAGGGGTAGATGTGAGTATGCATAGCAGGGTTTTTTTTTTCTCTATACTCGTAACCGTCTTTATCCAGTAAATTCTGGCAGAAAAATGGATGTTGCTTTATATTTTACTAGTGGTGCCCTCGCTGTGCTTCGGGGTAGAATTGATCAAAATCCTTTCTTAGCGGATGCCTACGTCATAACATCTACTCGCATGCCAAATTTCAGCCCGATCCGTCCAGTGGTTTGGGCTGTGCGTTGATAGATCACTATGTCAGTCAGTCACCTTTGAGTTTTATATATATATCACTACATAGTATAAAACAAAGTCGCTTTCTCTGTCCCTATGTCCCTTTGTATGCTTAAATCTTTGAAACTACGCAACGGATTTTGTTGCGGTTTTTTTTTAATAGATAGAGTGATTCAAGAGGAAGGTTTATATGTATAATACATGCATAATATAGTAGAAAAACACTGATTATTTTAGAGGTTTTTAATGTAAGGTCGTAAATAAACACATTTTTTGCGCTTACATTGCAAACGCTGGCTGAACCCCACGAGATAGAACAAAATAATGTACTACAGTATTGTACACCTTAAAAAGGTCTACAAAAAAGTCCGCGATGGTATATGTCTATCTCTTAAAGATAACCCACAATAACCAATTTTTATCCTATACTTTTTACGAGAAATAATAGATTATTTACAAAGCGATTTTAAGCAATATAACATTCATCCTTATCCAATTAAGTACCTTAAATACATTGTGCATTTAATATAGAACAATTTGGCCCTATAACGCATATAATTTAAATGAATATTTTCGAAGATATTACAAATTTAAAATTCAGGGACATAGCGGTTCCGACGCTACCGGGCTTGGCGGCGCGTGTAATTGGGTATTAGAAGAATGTCATTGTTTATAATAAAAGCCTGAGAACAAAAACTATAGTCTACACTACAGCTTTACACCGAAGCGAAGCGAGGGCGGGCCACTAGTAGATAGATATAGACTATCCGTGCTTACTATGAAATAATCTTACATGAAATTTGGTGCATTTATAACAACAGGTATTCCTGAGATCAAAACGATCCTCAGCGGGTTCATCATTAGGGGCTACCTTGGCAAGTGGACGCTCATCATCAAGGTGGTGGGGCTGATCCTGTCCGTATCCTCGGGCTTGTCTTTAGGGAAGGAGGGTCCTATGGTTCATATAGCCAGCTGTTTAGGTGAGTTTATTTTATACTGTTTGTAGGTTTCCTCTTAATGTTCTAATGTTTGTTAGTACTATACTAGACAGACAGCATCACAGTCATGTGGTTATGAATATTGAAAGAAAAAAGTTCACAAACGAATGTTTCTCGGTTTTTTAGGAATCGTCAAATTCTGAGGTGCCACAGTACGTTTTGGAGGTTTTATTAAAAAACAATGAATTCACTTCACTGCACTTCTTGAATGAGACGTGACCTGATTGTATGTGATCCGTGACTATGATTGAGATCTGTTTAAATGTGGAATCTTTTTTTTTACACCGAGTCCAGCAATATACTGTACTGCTCTTGCAGCCGCCCCTTGCAGCCACCTGCCCCCAGGCCATGGCCCTCTTGTCGTAAATGCACCCCTGTCTGTAATAACAAACTCACTTTTCACCACGGGATCAGACAGATAGTGGTGTATTTACGACAAGAGGGCCAAGGCCTGGGGCGGTAGGCTGCGAGGTTCAAAAGGCAGTCGTTACTGACCTTCATTATCTTGGTTTAATTTACTAATTCTAGGAGAAACCATACGTATGGGCGGGGCGCCAGAATTCAAAATACGACCGATAAATATTACTGAGACCAAAGCATGAATTTTGACAGCTCCGTAATCGTATTGTCATCGTGTCAAAATTTTAATGGAATTAGCCAGTTTGTTCTGACGTTCTTTAGGGGCGCTGATTAGTTTTAATCAACGATATTAAATACCCTAGATACACCAACACGAACAAAATCATGCCCAAAACCTGTCCACAAGGTACATTGGACGATTCACGGAGCTCTGTGGCTTGACTTGAATGCGCTGTTAGCAATATAGCAGGTACGGACCACGAGGAAAAGAGACGGCTATATTACCGACCATGCATTTGAATATCACAAATATTTTCTATTAAATCAGTTTATATGAAGTTTTAAAATATAATTTACTTTAAATGCGTTAAATTAACAAATATTAATTAGATACCTGTCGAAGAAACGTCATTTTACACACTATAAGTATTTTTATCGCATTTTTTCACGGAGTTAAGCGGCATGATGGCGTTTCAACGGTCCGCGCGTGACTGTGAATAAAGAAGTGCTTGAGTCGTGTTCAAGCACTTCTTGATTGGGACACATTTTGAGCGCACGTGGTTTATCTAGGGTATTTAATATCGTTGGTTTTAATAGAAACTTTGGCGATGCGATACGCTTGCGGAGCTGTCAAAATTCGTGCTTGGACCTCTGAATAGCACTGCCGCTGAGTGTTGTTGACATTCGTTTGTGTTGTTGTGCAGGCAATATTCTATCTTACCTGTTCCCTAAGTACGGACGGAACGAGGCGAAGAAGCGTGAGATATTATCGGCAGCGGCGGCCGCGGGTGTCTCCGTCGCATTCGGTGCTCCCATTGGTGGCGTACTGTTCAGCTTGGAGGAGGTAAGGCATAGATAATTGCTCCAATTGGTGCCTTTAAGAATTTGTATAGATGATTTTGTCTTATTTTATGATAGACTAGCGACCACCCGCGACTCCGTCCGCGTTAACTTTTAGTTTTTTTTTTCTAAAGTAAAATATGTTTTCTAAAATAAAAGTAGCGTAAGTCATAACATCAACTATCTGCCAATAAAAGTCCCGTCAAAATCGGTCCAGCCATTTCAGAGATTAGCCGGAACAAACAGACAGACAGACAAAAATTGAAAAAAATGTTATTTTATAACCCTAATTTTTCACCCTTCTACCACCAGCCCCTATTTTTAGAGATGCAAACTTAAGCTAAATACTATCGATGTCACACGAAGAAATGATTTTAAAAGCTTGCGTATGACACTGTACATAATTGCGTCCACGGTGCTATTCGCGGCGAAAACGTGTTCGCTACGCGTTCGCTTCGCCTTGAAAACGCTTGCAATCCGTCATAATAAGACCCTTGATTGCAAGCAATGTGCACATATCCCTAATATCGCATACCTATGTAAGCTAAAATATAGCTTGAAACCTTCTTATATAAAAATGGGTCCATTCATTCATTTTATAGATAAATCAGTAGCTTCCAACTTTGAACATCATTCTAAAATAGACATTTAAACTCGTAGTTGATATTGTGATGTTAATTAAATGTTCTTTTGTCTGCTGAGGTGTTTACACAACTGGTAAATTGTTTTGTAAGCTAGAAGAAGTAAGACGTAATAAGACTGAATCTCTCGGATATTTTAATTTTATAGTTTTCCTTTGTAATGTTAGGCCCACTTGCGTAGTCGAGAGTTATCTCATTAATGTCCCTGTTTAATGCTAACCCGAGTATAAATCAAAAATTCGTCTTGCACTGCATACAGTTGACAGAAAATTCTGTGTTTAGGACCTATCATCATCATCATCGACCCATGCTCGTCCACTGCTGGACATAGGTCTCCCCTAATGCACGCCACTGCTCCCGATTTTCTGCCACTCTCATCCAGCCCACTCCAGCCAGCCTACGAATGTCATCATCCCATCTTGTCTCAGGGCGTCCCACACTACGTTTACCGAGTCGCGGTCTCCACTCAAGAATTTTACGGCTCCATCGGCCGTCAGTTCTGCGGAATGTGACCAGCCCACTGCCACTTCAGTTTGCTAATTCGGTGGGCTATGTCGGTGACTCTGGTTCTCTGTCGGATTACATCATTCCTGATGCGGTCCTTCAGAGCATAGCCCTTTCCATAGCTCTCTGAAGACCTATGCCAGACGGATTTAGTCCTGCGTACCAACCAAGGTGACCTTGCCCGTTGCCATCCATCTAGACGAAGGATGTTATCCAAATTTTAATTTGACTTTCAATGTCCTTGAATTACGGGCGCGTGTTTACATCCGCGGTTGGAGCGCGTGGATTTGGACAACCGTTTGGCCGGCGGATTACATCCAACCAAAGACAGTTGCGCTGTGGCAGTCAGCGGGTGCGCACGTATGCATGTAAAAAAATTCGTCCGAAGACCAGAGTCGCGAACGCGATATTACTAGCGAACTAATTGATCTCTATAGAGATCTCCCATGCTTATGGGACGTTATGTCGGAATCATATAAAGATGGTAGTTAAAAAAAAATGCGTGGGCGATATTACTCGAAAAGTACAGGGAGTTGGACATAAGTTTGAATGCTTGAGAATCATTCGCTGTTGTAACCAACGCTTCATCCAGATTCTCTTTTTTGTTGTTTTTCGTCGTCTATTGCACACAAAACTGTTAAGGCAAAGCCCACATTTTGAAATTAAGACAAATTTGGAGCCATTTCTACAACAAGGTTACTAATACAGTCCGCGCATGATACAAGTGCATACGTGTTTTCACGCCAGAAGACGACTCGCGATTGCGTGTTGGCGCGTGGATTACATCTGTGTAGCCGAAGATCATAACGCGGATGGAAACCAACTTCCCACCAAGGTCACCTTGGTTGGTACGCTGGTTTACATCCGACTAGAATAGGTCTAAATACTAACTATTATCGCGCCGAAATTGGTGACTTAAATTCACACATTAGTGAAATTATATCTTGAGGGTTGTGCTCTCTTGTGCTTAGTATTTTTTGAGCAACATCCATTGCACGATGTAGTAATTATAAAAAAATCTTTTAAAATCTATTGCCTGACTTTGTTCCTGATTTGGGTGAAACAAGCGTAGTTACATATTATCCTCGTTTTTTTATTGCCTTCGATGGCAGACGAGCTGGGGGGTCACCTGATGTTAAGTGGCCAAAGTCGCCAATGGACAACAGCAATGCCGGTGACCCACTATTTATCGTTGCTATGTTGTTGCAATCGTTGATCATCTACCTCAGACTTTACCTCAGATTTCAGTACCCTTAGCACGAACCAATATCGAATTCGAATAGTTTGAGAGTGTGAAATGTCATTGTCAAATGTATACTAATTTTTAGTTCTCGTTACGTCCGTTACGTACGTTAGCGCTGCTGTTCAAAATTTGACAATGACATTTCGCACTCACAAACTATTCGAACTCAATATTAGTTCGTGTTGAGGGTACTGAACAAAAGGCAGTGGAGTGCACGGTACACTGATAGTGTGCCACCAAAGCAAATATTAAGTCAAAAGTGTCATTAACTTTTTTTTGTCTTCGTGAATAGTTTTTATAATGTTTGAACAAGGCGGCACAGTTTTGATCAAATCTTAATATTCACGGGACGTGTTCACAACACGGTGCGTTGTAGTATACTGACGCGAGTTGAGATTTCGCTTTCGTTTTGATTTTTGCTTTGGTGGCACGCAATCTGTGAACCGTGCGCTCCATTTGCGTTTAATAGGGATGACGATTATTTTTTTTTCTTCATTTATCAGGTAGATTATCAAAAAGTATTGGACACTTATTTTTTTTTCACATAATATAAACATTGCAAATATATATTGATTTGAAAAGTCGCATGACGTGACGTTTTGGTACAATTTTCACTTATAAGTGACGTCACGACGATGCGCTTTATCTTTGTCATTTTTTGATTGATTGCCCAAAGAAAAAATACGTGTCCATTATTTTTTGATCATCTAACTGACGGACTAAATAGAATTTCGTTTACTTTATCCCGTGGTCACCCCTATTCTGTAATCTGAGACTATTACGATACGATATTACGAATACTATGAACTACGATATTACGAACGAGGAGCTCGATGGCGAAAGGGGTTAGCGCGTTCGGCTGCGATCGTTGAAGTTAAGCAACTTTCGCAGTGGTCGGTCATTGGATGGGTGACCAAAAATTTACTATGTCGAGCTCCTCCGTGCTTCGGAAGGCACGTTAAGCCGTTGGTCCAGGCTGCATCTGCAGTCGTTAGCACTCACCAATCCGCACTGGGCCCGCGTGGTGGGGCATGGCCCAATCTCCCTATTCCATCCATAGGGAAGGCCTGTGCCCCAGCAGTGGGGACATTAATAGGCTCATGATGACTACGAATACTATTTCGGCGGCAGGTGTCGTACTACTTCCCGCTGAAGACGCTATGGCGGTCGTTTTTCTGCGCACTGATCGCCGCTTTCATACTCCGCTCCATCAATCCGTTCGGCAACGAGCATTCTGTGCTCTTCTTCGTTGAGTACAACAAGCCGTGGATATTCTTCGAGCTCATACCTTTCGTAGGACTGGGAATTATCGGGGTGAGAACTAATTCTTTTTTTGCTTCATTGCTTTTTATTAAAAATCTTTTTTATTTATATAATATTGCTTGAGTGAACTTTTTTAAGTTAAGAAAACGCAGATTTCTCGCGATACTTTATTAATAAATTTTCGTGACTTGTTTTTGTTAAGGAAAAAAAAATATTAGGCAATCCAACAGAATACTGAATTTTTTAGTTTTGCTTTGTAGCTTTATCACTTAGTTTGTTTGATATATTAAGATCAGTGATTCAAATAAATACAGCCAGGACACTTAGGGCCAGTTCCTGATGGAGTAGCTTCTCAACCTTCACAAGTGCCTGTACATAACAACATATGTATACTGAATGAATAATTTGTGAATTTTGATAAAGCTTCTGGTACGTGCTGTTTTGCCTGCTAATTTTTCTATTCAAGACATGCAAAACTAAAATTTATCTCGCATACAAGTTCCATATAGACTATCAGGCTCTTTATCTGCAAGCTGGTGTTGAAACTGTCCTTTAGAAGCTTTATTGAATTAGTTTATTCTGGAAAGTGTTCACAATACCGCTCGACTAACGCACGAGTTCCACAGGGTTGTATAGCGACCATCTTCATAAAAGCCAACATCTGGTGGTGTCGGTACCGCAAGTACTCGAAGCTGGGCCAATACCCGGTCACAGAGGTTCTGGTAGTGACGCTGGTGACCGCCGTACTGTCGTACCCCAACCCCTACACCCGTATGAACACCAGCCAGCTGATATATCTGCTGTTCAACCAGTGCGGCATCTCCAACCGCGATCCACTGTGGTGAGTACATATGTAGAAGGATTCATCCGTGTCGGTCTAGCATTGATACTGTCATCAACCCCTACACCCGCATTCCATCAAAGCCTGGGTGAATCCCTAGTTTTGTTTATAGCGTTTAACGAATCAGAAATGATATGGAACCATTACTCACAAACAAAGGTCGCTGAAACATGGTTCCAAACTCGTACAACTAAATTACTAACGCGATAAAAAAAATAGACCAATCAAATATCTGCAAATGAATTCGGCTATCCTTTCATTGGCTAAGATAATGTTAAACGGGACTTCCAACCAATCCCGTGATCGGAGTGTTTATTGCTTTTTTTCGCCCCGCCCTCTTGATGTCAGTTTGCGTGGAATCACCATTTAGCGCAGTCCGTATTCAATATCATTTCTAATTCGTTGATAGCGGTTCATTTCCTAGTCTTAATCACACCAGCGACTACGACCGCAACTTCACTGACTGTTAATCGGCGATAGAGGACTGCTGTTCCTCTCGCTGTAGCACACAAAAAAAATACTGAACCATTTCAAAAATAGGGATGATGACATAGTTAGGTATAGCATATAGTTTTTTATGATCCACACTAAGTAGCTCATATTCTATCGCCATTACATTTCATCTCCTACACCTTTACTGGTTGACTGGTAGAGAAGGCCCATGGCATTAAGTCCGCCATTTACTGTTTTTATGGTAATAAAGAATAAATAAATAAATAAATGGCTATTTTTTTTTCTTCCTTTATCAGGTATTTTTTCTTTTTGCACATAATATAAACATTGCAGAGATATGTTCATTTGTAAAGTGGCATGACGTCACGTTTTGGTACACTTCTAAATGAAAATTCACTAAAAAGTGACGTCACGAGACCCTACTCCCAAACTTTGATGCGCTATAACTTTGTCATTTTTTGGTTGTTTGCCCAAAGAAAAAATACGTGTCCATTATTTTTTTGATCATCTAACTGACGGACTAAATAGAATTTCGTTTACTGTACCCCGTCATCACCCCTATTCTTTCACTATAAGGACATAGGCCATGTTCTATCGGGTTAAAATAAATTCGGAACAATAATAACAACAATAAGTTAGGGATCTCCAGTTTTGTATTTAGTGGTTGATTTTTTCATCACACCAGCGACTACGACCGCAACTTCACGGACGTGAACTCGGCGATAGAGAAGGCGGCGGCGAGGCCGGGCGTTTACAACGCGATAGGGCTGCTGTTCCTGGCGCTATTGCTCAAGCTTGTCATGACGGTCTTCACGTTTGGCATCAAGGTGCCGTGCGGTCTGTTCATACCGAGCTTGGCTCTTGGCGCCATCGCGGGACGGATCGTCGGCATTGGTTAGTGCACTTTATGGCGACTGTGATTAACGGATTTCGAAGTGTATTTAGCATTTTTATAGAATACGTTTAAACACTCACCTTTTTACCACAGTAAGTTAGAGATGTGGTCAACACGAGTTAAAAAAAAACGGCCAACTGCGAGTTTGCCTAAACAAGGTTTATTACCGTGTCTAAATTTTAAGGCGCATACAGACTGGTGGAACCTATCATGAAATGTATCATTCAGTCTTCCGTCGTTACATGTTCACTGCAAGCATCTCGATAAATTTATTATCTAACAAAAAAATAATATATTAAATCGGACCAGTAGTTTCTGAGATTAGCGCGTTCAACCAAACAAAGAATCAAACAAACACTCTTCAGCTTTATAATTAGTATAGATTGCACGTTTTACCAGTCTGTACCCGCCATTATGCTATAATAAATCACGAATTCTATTTCTAAAGCGCTTATTGTGTATGTGTACCTGAGTAGGGTTGAAAATAAATGTTTAATCTCGCTACAATTTGGTTACGTAGGCGTGGAGCAGTTAGCATTCCACTACTCGAAGATATGGTTGTTCTCCGGCGAGTGTCAAACCGGAGTGGACTGCATCACGCCAGGCCTCTACGCCATGGTAGGCGCTGCGGCTGTACTGGGCGGCGTGACCAGGATGACGGGTGAGAGCTCCGACAAGAAAAAACATCCAATATATTCATCATCATGACCCTATTAATGTCCCTATTGTAGGGGCACATGCCTTCCCTTAGAAGAATTCCAATATATTCATCATCATGACCCTATTAATGTCCCTATTAATGGCACAAGCCTTCCAATACATTCATAATCATGACCCTATTAATGTCCCCATTATAGGAGCATAGCCCTTTCAATATATTCATCATCATGACCCTATTAATGTGCCCGTTGTAGGAGCACAGGCCTTCAAATATATTCATCATCATGACCCTATTAATGTCCCCATTGTAGGAACATATGCCTTCCAATATATTCATCATCATGACCCTATTAATGGCCCGTTGTAGGAGCACAGACCTTCAAATATATTCATCATCATGACTCTATTAATGTGCCCGTTGTAGGAGCACAGGCCTTTCAATATATTCATCATTAAGACCTTATTAATGTCCACATTGTTGGGGCTCAGGCGTTGGATAGGGAGATAAGGCCACAACCCACTACACGGGCCCAGTGCGGATTGGTGGGTGCGCAGGACTGCAGATGCAGCCGGGACCAACGGCTTAACGTGACTTTCGAAGCAAGGGGAAACTCGAGATGTAAATTTTTGGCCACTCATCAAATGATCGACCATTGCGAAAGTTGTTTTCGCAATGAAAAGCGGAGGGTGCGAGTTCGAATCTCGTGTGTTGCCTGATCTGCGTGCAATTTTTCTAGTAAAAATGTCTTTAAACATAGTATGTTTCCAAACCTTTTCTCTCCGCTAACTTTTACGATATCGCCTTAGTGTCCCTGGTGGTGATAATGTTCGAGCTGACGGGCGGAGTGCGGTACATAGTGCCCCTGATGGCCGCCGCAATGGCCAGCAAGTGGGTCGGCGACGCGTTAGGAAGGCAGGGCGTTTATGACGCCCATATAGCACTCAACGGGTACCCATTCCTGGACAGCAAGGATGAGTTCCAGCACACCTCGTTAGCCGCGGACGTTATGCAACCAAAGTGAGTAATATGTGGTTAAATATTCGTTAGGAAGGCAGGGCGTTTATGACGCCCATATAACACTCAACGGGTACCCATTCCTCGACAGCAAGGATGAGTTCCAGCACACCTCGTTAGCCGCGGACGTTATGCAACCAAAGTGAGTAATATGTGGTTGAACATTCGTTAGGAAGGCAGGGCGTTTATGACGCCCACTTAGCGCTCAACGGGTACCCATTCCTGGACAGCAAGGGTGAGTTCCAGCACACCTCGTTAGCCGCGGACGTTATGCAACCAAAGTGAGTAATATGTGGTTGAAGATTCGTTAGGAAGGCAGGGCGTTTATGACGCCCATATAGCACTCAACGGGTACCCATTCCTTGACAGCAAGGATGAGTTCCAGCACACCTTGTTAGCCGCGGACGTTATGCAACCAAAGTGAGTAATATGTGGTTAAACATTCATTAGGAAGGCAGGGCGTTTATGACGCCCATATAGCGCTCAACGGGTACCCATTCCTGGACAGCAAGGATGAATTCCAGCACACCTCGTTAGCCGCGGACGTTATGCAACCAAAGTGAGTAATATGTGGTTAAACATTCATTAGGAAGGCAGGGCGTTTATGACGCCCATATAGCGCTCAACGGGTACCCATTCCTGGACAGCAAGGATGAATTCCAGCACACCTCGTTAGCCGCGGACGTTATGCAACCAAAGTGAGTAATATGTGGTTGAAGATTCGTTAGGAAGGCAGGGCGTTTATGACGCCCATATAGCGCTCAACGGGTATCCATTCCTGGACAGCAAGGATGAGTTCCAGCACACCTCGTTAGCCGCGGACGTTATGCAACCAAAGTGAGTAATATGTGGTTGAACATTCGTTAGGAAGGCAGGGCGTTTATGACGCCCACTTAGCGCTCAACGGGTACCCATTCCTGGGCAGCAAGGGTGAGTTCCAGCACACCTCGTTAGCCGCGGACGTTATGCAACCAAAGTGAGTAATATGTGGTTGAACATTCGTTAGGAAGGCAGGGCGTTTATGACACCCACTTAGCGCTCAACGGGTACCCATTCCTGGACAGCAAGGGTGAGTTCCAGCACACCTCGATGCCGCGGACGTTATGCAACCAAAGTGAGTAATATGTGGTTGAAGATTCGTTAGGAAGGCAGGGCGTTTATGACGCCCATATAGCGCTCAACGGGTACTCCTTCCTGGACAGCAAGGATGAGTTCCAGCACACCTTGTTAGCCGCGGACGTTATGCAACCAAAGTGAGTAATATGTGGTTAAACATTCGTTAGGAAGGCAGGGCGTTTATGACGCCCATATAGCGCTCAACGGGTACCCATTCCTGGACAGCAAGGATGAATTCCAGCATGAATTCAACCCGTAAGTAGTAATTAAGTAATATATAGTTTTTGAGTTTGTCGGGTTTTTCTGAAATTGTATTTTTATCTCACCTTTTCTTTATTATCGGAAACATAATTTACTAATAACTTTTTTTAAATATCCAAACAAATGATTTTAATAGATTTTTTAGATTGAAGTTATGTGAAAAAGTGTCAACACAAAAGTTGCAGATCTTTTGTTTACTTATAATTTTGCTATAGCTTTTTTCAATAGAAGTTGTAGTTTTATTGAAATACTCGTAAACCGTTTTCTCCCCTTTCCCCCCTTAAAAGGTCAGCCACTGAACCATTCGACCTCAAATCGCCCGTTTTTTTTCAATTCAAACAATTTTTAAAGGCATTGTCTACAATGAAAAGTTTACGTAAACGAATCTGTCAAACACGAAAAGACATAATAAAAAACTCACGATATTCAAGATAATGAACCAGCACAAACTTTTTTTTCATTGTCCGCATTTGTATTGTTGTCGTTACACAACCCCTTTCTCGTATGATATGACGCAATATTCCATCTTTGTCTTTAGTAAGCTTTTGTGTAATAAAGAAAGTTTCTGTGAACAGAGTATAGAAATGATGATTAAATATAAAAAAAATACATTTGCTTTGCGATTTCTGTTATTTTCTCTTGTGTTCTAAATACATGCTTAGCGAATTTTCATTTAGTTTATATGTCATTGCTAGCGCTCCGCACAGTCACTATTACTTGCGATGCGTCATTCGGGCTGGACAGCAGGCTATCCTTATCGGCCGTATTGGTGAAAATAGGGAGGGACTGTTGCTACGTTGAGGGGTAGCGGGAACGGATGGCTGTGTGGAGGGCCGGTATTATTGTTTATGTATTAATTGAAATGTATGTAATGTATGTGTTAGTCATTAATTAGAATTGTATTATGTTATATGTATAATTGTGTTCTGTGTTGTGTTATTGTCTCGCTTATTCCGGCATTCGCAAATCACCTTTGCCATAAGGCGCTGACTGAAAATCAGCGCTGCTGTGGTATCGCGCGGTTACCACACAGCATAGCTGAGGCAGCGCCCTATTGGCCTTCCACGGCACGATGTTTTTATTTATTTTTTATCTTTTATGCTTAAATCTATGTTCACTATTAAATAACCATTTGTATTGCTAAGTTAATGCCGTGAAGGCTTATAAAATGTTTTTCTTTCTTTCTTTCATCATTTAATTTATTTCCATTAAAATCAACTTTGTATTAGATAATTTTCCTATCTATATTTCACTCAATTTTTGTTTAATAGTTTTATTATACTGAAATTTCTAATTCGTTTAGTGCACAAGCGTGCACTTCTATTTTGTATGTAAAAGATACATTGCGAGTTCTATTTTTTTCCTCTGGTGCCCATTTTTATATATAAAGAAAATAATCTGATTGCGAGTGTCTATTATTATTCCTACTGTTTTTCTTTATATTTGCTTTTATAAATTTGTTAAAAATCTATTACGGTTCGTCAGATACAGTCTGCAGGCAGATGGTCATTTAACGGACAACAAACTGCGTATAGTCTCATAGGGTGTTGTTATCTTTTAGTATGTAATTTAACGCAATAAATCTTTATTTAGTTTTAAATATTTTATATACTGGAACATTCCTTTTTTTTTGTAGGCAGGTACGCAAATGACTACCCCACCTGTATGAATAAAGTGTAATGATGTTAAGTGGTGATATAGTCCAAACGCGAAGATAGCTGGTACAGCATTTATAAACTGCCACACCTCAATTTCGGACGCTACATCGAGTCCATTGCTAAAACCGCTGCCAGAAAACTTGGAATACTTTCTAAGGCCAGGCGATACTTTACATCTGAGCAGCTCCTTAACCATTATTGAGCCCAAGTTCGCTCCTGCTTGGAGTACTGTTGTCACCTTTGGTACGGTTCTGCTCGGTATCAGCTTGATGCACTGGACTCGGTGGAACACCGTGCTAAGAGACTCAATGACGCTCTCGTTTAGGCTAATCTTCAGAGCCTTTACCACCGAAGACGTGTAGTTTCCCTCTCGGTGTTTTATCGGTTACATTCAGGAATTGTGCGGTGGTATTACATATTTTGATCCCCCGTTCCCCTTTCCACCACCAGATGATCAGGCGCGGCGAGGGCTTTCACCCTTATGTTGTCGAAGTACCTCCCATTAGAACGAAGCGATTTGCTTCTGCCTTCATTATGCGAATGGCTAGGGAGTGGAACTCCTTGCTGAGGTCTGTTTTCCCGGACCAATATAATCTGGACATCTTTAAGGCCAGACTGAACAGGCATCTTCTAGGCAGGCGTATACCATCCTAGGCCTCATCATCGCTTTCCATCAGGCGAGATTGTGGTCAAACGCATTGCCTACTTTGCATAAAAAAATAAAAAAAACACCATCCATCTTCACCTTGCAGGCCTGCAAAAATATTTGTCCAAATGATTTGTTTTCTTGATTTAAGAACCACACCTATGTCCATATTCGAGATGAACACAGTTCCGTACCCAAAGGGTAAAAACGGGACACTGTTACTGAGGCTCCACTGTCCGTCTGTCTGTCACCAGGCTGTGTCTCATAAACTGTTATAGCTAGAGAGTTGAAATTTACACAGACGATGTATTTCTGTTGCCGCTATAACAGAAAAAAACTAAATATTTAAGGCGGCTCCCATACAACAAACGTAATTATTTTGCTCCACATTATAATATAGTGTCTAATGTTGTTTACAAAATGGCACGGAACCCTTAGTGCGTGATTTGCCCGCACTTGGCCCGTTTTTATACATTTGTGATATATTAGATTTTATAGATTTGCATAGCGATGGATGGAATACAATATGGCATTCCATTTTAGCTCGAGAATATGTTAAGTAACATTGAAGTAAGTGCTCCTGAAATTGCGAACGAATAAATGGCTCCTAGCTCTTCTCTTCATACGTTTAAGCAATTGCGAAGGCGGTGAGATGAAGTGATCAAACGCGAAAGACTGGCGCTACATTTTTATTTTACTATGCCGTATCTTTTTATTCTAAGGCAGAAAGCAAGCTGTTACTGAATAATGGACCCTATTCTGATTATTGTCTAAACCTAAAATTCAAGTTGACAATATTGAACCTAAAATTCAATTGTATACCGTTGTCATGGTATATGCAAATGAAAAGGAGAGACTCCACTGTCCGTCTGTCTGCCACCAGGAGGCTGTATCTTCGCTCTGCATCTTCTATCGCATTAATCACGGGGAATGTTCTGAGGAATTGTTCGGATTAATTCCAGCTGCTGCATTTCGCCATTTTGTACATCGCGACAAAAATTTCATCCCCATCATCTTGATGCGTGGCTATCCACAACCGTGCGTTTTTGTCCAAATTTTTTACCACGTATGACAAAACTGTGGAATATATTTTCGCCAGCAGTGTTTCCGGACCAATACGACCCAAAAACCTTCGAAAAAAGAGTGTACTCCTTCCTTAAAGGCCGGCATCGCATTTGTGATACTCCTGGTGCCGTAAGTGTCCATGGGCGACGGTGATCACTTACCATCAATGAGCCGTCTGCTCGTATGCCCCCTATAACATAAAAAAAGACTGTTGTCAAAGGAGAAGCCAATTCTGGTCCCACATAGGTCTCACCGTGCAATAGGTATGTGTTTGACATCGTTCGATTGGTATTTTTAAGCTGAAATGGAATTTGCCGCTATAGTAACTTTTATTCAGCTCAAAAATTCCTATCCAACGATGTAACACACACAGCTATTGGAAAGTGGGACTAGATTTCATACAAGCCCTGGCATCATCCTTTAACTTTAAAGGTTTAGAAAATCATGCTAGAATTATATTACTGTTATTAAGAGTTGTAAATTTTATTTCAGTAACGATATAATGTTATTGTAATTACGATAAATAAAAAAAAAAAAATACAACAGCGAAACGAACCGAAAGGCTTGAGCTACGTTTAATTATGAACAAATATCGACCGACGCTAATCGAATGATAGTTAAAAATTTTGACCTTGTTTCTAATGTGTTTAAGTCTAAATTATATGTTGCAATAATAAACTTCCGATTATAGTTTTTACTAGAAGCCCGCCCTCGCTTCGCTTCGGGGTAGAATTGATCAAAATCCTTTCTTAGCGGATGCCTACGTCATAAAATCTACCTGCATGCCAAATTTCAGCCCGATCCGACCAGTGGTTTGGGCTGTGCGTTGATAGATCACTATGTCAGTCAGTCACCTTTGAGTTTTATATATATAGATTTGGGCCTGCGCTACAACAGTTTTTATATGCTCTGCGCTGCAATTATGTTCACGGAATCGAGTTAGTGAAGCGCTTTCTTTATCACATGATTGCTTTCAAAAGAGAAGGATGGAAAACTACGATCTGTACTTAGGCTACTGGTTTGTATCTGTGAATAGATAAAATATAGCAACAAAAATTTTAAAAATTTTCTTATGGTAATAAGATACAGTGGAATCCTAAGGTCGATAAATCTGCATTCTCAACTCAAATTTTTACGTACCTTCATTGCAACATTTATCTCTCAAAAATTTTCAACAAACCGACTGAACTGTAAGATTTTTTAGTATAAAAATCGATATGTCTCACTTCGTTTACAATATCATTTTATATTGATAATGATGTCGATTTTGGCATGATTCTCTAAAGCTAAACTTAAATTTGACAACAGTGTATCTTTGTCATTCTCTATACAGAATGAAAAGGACAGACTGATGTTAAATTTAGTTTTAAGTTTAGAGAATCCTGCCAGAATCGACACCACTATAACAATATAATATTATATAAATATAATTTAAGGGCATGAAGATTTTTTCGGAAGTTTTTCTCTACAGCTTAAAAAATGTAATTCTTTATTTCTAAGACATTTGAATAAATTTATCTTGACTCGAATACTAAGTTTAGTTCTCCCCCTGTAGACGTAACGAGACGCTAGCAGTCATTACCCAAGACTCGATGACTGTGGACGACGTGGAAACGTTACTGAAGGAAACTGAACACAACGGGTACCCAGTCGTTGTATCCAAGGAGTCGCAGTACCTGGTGGGATTCGTGCTACGAAGGGACCTCAATCTGGCCATAGGTATGCTTATTTTATTTTTGATGTGTAACATCTTTCCTCTCGCTTTGTCTGCAATTTGTGGGAGTGATTTCGTGAAATGGGACGGAAGTGTGTAACAGGAAGTTTGGGAAGTAGAACATAATGTTCAAATGGCTTATTCCTTTTGTAGTAGGTTTTATTTCTTTTTTATTTACTTATATAAGGTGAGGTTTCAAATGTTACAAACATCATACGCGACTGCTGTAAGGTTCGCTCCTTTTCTTAAGAAAAAAAATACTTGTGTGTAATTTTCAGTCGGAATCTTCGAATACTTTATACAATATATTCAATCATTAATGATCCATATGCTCCTGGATATTAGAAATGTAAATTTCGATATCTTGGTAGTATCCACAATCTCAATCTTCAGTCTGGCAGCAAACAAACTAGCTATTCCCTCTCGCCATACTGGTTTTGTTTCTAACGCATTTTCTGTTCAAGCTATACGAATCTGGAACGCACTGCCTCCTCATATTCAGAAACAAACTAGCTTTTAAACGCTCCGTACGTCATTTATTAGATTCCTCCTCTGCATCCTCCTGATATGATATAGATTTGTATGTATATACCTATATATGTTAATATTTATTCTTATTTATGTATTTATATAGAATTGCTTTGTTTTTTTTTTAATATAATTGTAACTTGTTTTGTGAGGTTATAATAAATAAAAAAATAAAATAAAAAAATCTTTAGATCGAAATCTACTATTGCAATTCGTTACTTTCGACTTCGACTAGACTACTGTTCATCGATTTAAAAGACGTTCACATTTCACATCACGTCAAAAAAGTTGGTTAAAAATAAAAAGTATATGAAAAAAAAGGTTTCAGAAAATTCGATGCCCATCAGCATAACGATCAGTACATTCGCCCGGATAGCGAAGGTAGCGAGTTCTACTCCCGTCTGCTGCCTAGTCCGCGTGGAATTTTTTCTAACAAAAAATGTTTTTAAATTAAAATTTTAATTATAATCTCTTATCTATTAGACAAGTCCGTCCGTCCGTCCGTGGTGCTGTTTCAGCGGCCAAACCGTAAGAGATAGATATAGAGAATGTTTAAGTTACAAGTTAAGAATAGTCTGATAAGACTACAAACCGGATGTGAGTAACGTAGCACTTCCGGTTTTCGAGAAATCACGTGATTTCTATTTCAAACATAATCTCCGAAGTTCTCAATTAAATAAATACATTTTTTTTTGGTGAACATTTGGTTCACTGGTTTGCTAGTTAAAGTATAATTGATTTCGTAAAGCCAACGCGCGGCGTACGATGGAGGGTATAACCGGGCAGTCTGTCGTGGTATTCGCCGGGGCGGGCCCTTCTGCGGGCGCTGGCCCCGGGCCGGGCCACCACGGGGCGGGCTGCTTGCTCCTCAGCCGTATCCTGGACATGGCCCCGATCACCGTCACCGACCAGACTCCAATGGAGACTGTGGTCGATATGTTTCGCAAACTGGGCCTGCGGCAGACGCTCGTCACGCATAACGGGTGAGTATAACTTCGCAAAAGGACACAGAATGTCATTTTACAGAAATAGACACTTCACAAATACTGTGACACTTACATAAACAGAAATTTTGCTCATTATTCACAACAGACGAGTACACATAAACAACCAGACACTTACATGAACAGACACTTCAGACACTTACACAGATGAACACACATACAGAGTAAGTAAGTATACAAAAACAACCAGATACTTTACATGTACAGACATTTCGTTCGTCCCTCGTAACGGACAAGGATACTTGAATAACCAGACACTTACATGAACAGACACTGCACATATACTCAGACATTTACATAAACAAACATTCAAACAGTCAATTTGCTCATCACTCATAAGTTCATAAGTCATAACGGAAAAGTATACACAGACATCAAGACAAACAAAACAAATAGACACTTACAATTTGAAACATATTGTATATTTTTTCATAAGTCACCATCATTTTAAACGGCTCAACTAATTCAGCTGTGGCTGTTTTATGTTAGTAGGTAATATTATCAGAACAGAGTTTGAATTTTAGTATGTAAATGTTCCAATTTTAATCAATCATGTCTAGAGAGATAGACGGATTTTTCTTTATTAGAACTTTTACAAAATTTACATTGGAACACAGTTTAACACCACCATTTGTTACGCAGACGCCTCCTCGGGGTAATCACCAAAAAGGACGTACTGCGTCACGTTAAACAAATGGACAACGAGGACCCCAACTCTGTTCTGTTCAACTAGCGAGACCCCACGCCGTGTCAATGTCTCATCGTCCTATACTTGCTGTGCGTGCACGTGGTCTCCATACAGTGCTACTGCAGCGTCATCTACGGCCTATACGTGGACGTGAGCGACACGCTAGACAACTCGTCGCAAATGAACCCAATCAGAATATAGCGTAGAAATGAACAGTTTCGAATTTCAAATATCACATTTTCAGTGTCACTATAAACCTCCCCGTTCTTGTATACCTCACAGTTGTGCAATCAATGGGTGTGTATTCCGAAATATGCACCGGTACGATGGCCAGCGGTAATGACGTCATGAATCGAAGCCATGCTGTTGATTCGTTCCAAATACACTGATCAGCGCGGTGACGTCATGAACTGGCGCTATTCATATTCAAGCAGTCTCGTGTTAGTGTGCAACGTTGATGCTCCAAAAAATTATAATAAAATTTAACCTACAATTTTAACTGTGATTATTTGAAAAGAATGGAAGTGATAGCTATTTGCGACAATATCTCGTTTTGTTGTTAAATACGTCACAGTATTCCAACCAGCATAATTAGGCGGCATACCAGTACAATATGGCATCGAAATCATGACGTCATTACCGCTGGGCAGCGTCCTGGTGTATTTTTCGGAATTCACCCAATGTCTCCTAACCTCGTCGGTGTTTCAGTGTTTCTATCGCAATTAAACGAAATATATATTGAATAGGTGTCATTGCAATAGTTAATCAGTGTTTTTTAAGGTACGGAATGCGATGTGTGAGGCGGAGTTGCAAACTATTGCATAAGTCTTATTTTGATCAGGTCATTGGAGATTATGTCGAGAGTTAATAGATTAAGAGATGTTTTAAAAAGGATTTTTCTACAACGTATTGTTGTAAGTGACTTCGTTCCTAGAAGTTACACGACCCCGGTGGGTTGTTGTGAGAAATGTGAAATTCTCGAGACGTCGCGCATCGTGCTCGACGCGATGTTTTAAGTTTGAAAGAGAAATTTAATATTCAATGTTACATTGGGCTCGATCTGTTGCACACATTCTGAATTACAATATAGGAGTAACTTTAAAGCGCGTTTATTAGACAAAAGCAGAATGAACTACAACAGATTATAGTCGGTCAGTCGCTTTTAAAAGCCAGAGCCATTTTAGGTGTTCAGACAAAAAACTTATTTTTAAAGAGAAAATAATGATTTATTGATAGTAAATTATTACTCCATTTTTTGGAGCACTGTGGGTTTGGACATACTTTTGCAAAAACTAGGAGTAAGGAAGTTGTACATTACAAAAAGCACGTTCTGTTAAACCACGTGAGTTTAAGAACCGAGAATGTAAATATACCAGACACTGGGCAATTATTCTTCAATGAGAGAAAATGTACTATTGAATTAAATTTAAGAATGTAACTCTTCTTTAAATCAAGCTCAGAGAGTGTGCAATAAAATGGAACCGATTATAATAATATTAACTAAATGTTTGTATATCCGATGTATATCTTGAATTATTATTACTGATATTGATTAATATGAGTGTGCATAATAAGTTTAGAAATTATCAAAATCTTTTCGTACCTTGTCATAAAGATGCTATTTTTCTTGATGATTTGAATAAAGGTATATTTTATTTTTTTGTTGTATTTACAATTTTATCAAATTACCGAGATGTATTTTAGATAATTTATTTAATATCCTTGTATCATTATAATCATGGAAGTTAAGGAAAAATTGTAACCATTTTGGTGAATGGTGATTTATTATATTTTATATCTCATTTTGTATAGTTTGCTTTAGATTAATTTTCTATCTCAATTTGATTTTTATGCATATATTTGTTTTAACTAAGTAGACGTGTCAGTTTGTATGTATATAATCTGTATAATTGGCAGCTGTTATTTATCAAATGTCCGACCAGTGTGTGTGGCCACAGTCGGGAGTAGGATAATGTATCGTGTAATGTAGTTAGGACAATATGAGATATTGGAATATGTAATTGGGCGTTTTAGTTTTGATAGCAGCTGCACCGCTAGTATTTGTGGCCCTCAACTACAGTCGTGAGCACTAAAGCAACAGATACAGTAGCGATTACTTTTCTTTGTGTAGGCATGATAATAAAAACATATTATGAAATTTATTTTAAATCGCCGGTAAGGCAGTGCGCATGTTTCACTGAACCATGAGACCTATTTTTGAAACGCTCGTTGTAAATGCATCTTCGTATTCGATTTAAGTGACACTCGACTCTCACGTTATTTTTTTGCATTTTTAAATCGTCTCCGTAATGCCAACATTTTATTATAAAATAGTATATTATAGAGATAAAACTATATAACTATTCGTAAACGCAGTGAAATCTAGACGATTTTAATAGGAAAGGCGAACTGCTAGCTAACGATTCAAAAATAGGGCCCCATGTCGCTTGCAAATGTTAGTCGGCTTTTGCGTACCTACTATTTATATACAAAAGATAGGCAACCACCACATTTAATGTGAAACATTTCACTTCATCAACACATTTTATTATCACTTTTAGATGCTACAACATCACTTCTATGAACATCACAACTACGAATAGAAGAAGAACCAAACTTGATACTTTTGAAGTCATTAGGATCTTTGTTTTTGATAATTATTATTTCACATCTCTCAAGCATCGTTTGCAGTTAATTGATAAAATGTCGTTATGATTTCAACTAAAATATTTATCTCACATTAAGTCAGTGGTGGGAATCGAAGTAACGCAAGAGCCATCTAGCGAACCAGTTCTATAGTGATTAGGCTTCTCGTTCGCTTGTCGATATTCTAGACGTGACGTGTATATACTGTAAATAATAATGGTAATTAAAGAATTGGCTATCATTTGGAGGTGTGGCTCACGAGAAATCATCTGAAATTAGTGTGTATCAATTTAGTCAGTAGAGTGGTCTCTGGCAGCGATTATAGTATTGTCGAAGTTATCATCAAGACTTTCTCGCTCCTATAAATTGTTACAGAGCAGGTGTTTAACCTGTTATAAATTGTATGTTGTCGGCACATTTTATAGAAAGAATAGTTTGCACCTTTGTAAAACGTTAACTTATCTATATTATCATATTGAAAAATTCTTGATTTCTCGTGTAGCACACCTTTGTGTCCTTTGTAATATGCTTGTTATTTTGCTTCATATTTTCTGCTACTTTAGCTTGGAGTCCTCCTCGTCTATTTTATGTTTAAATAAGTATCTTGAGAATGAAACTCTTGTATCTTCCACTCCATACCTATATTGAAATGCCTTTGCAATGTCAATAGGGATGCATTATTTTTCTTTGTAACGAGATAAAATTTTGTCTCAAATATTGTTATCACCTGGAAATTTTCCTGTAGTATATCTGAATTTTTGTTCAACCTTTCAATCGTTTTCACTGGAATGTTCTGTAATAATTGAGAAATCCTTTTTATTGTAAAGTGAGGTAATATGGAACAATACTACTCCTTCCCTGTACATTTAGTTTTGCAACTTGAGATAATTACTTCTCCATTGCATAATAAATTGTTTTTTGGATCCTTAACTATTAGATTACTTTCAAGACTAAGGTTTATGTTGAACCGATCAAACAAAATTACTGATTGGGTAGTCGTACTCTTATTTATGTATTTCCCACTGCAGAAATGATAAAAGAGTGGTAAGAATAAGTTATCGCGGGAGTTATTCATTATATATGTATATTTTTTTAAAGCATGTAACTGGAGGCCTACTCTATTTCAACGAAAAACGAAATTTCGATCGAAATTTCGCACGTTCCCTACTCTGTTTCCTTTTCATTTCGAAAATTCGTTCGTCCGAAATATTTTGACAATTAAATTCTCCAAGCCTACTCTAATTCACAAAACACTCGAAGGAAAAGTTGAATTTGACAGATAATTGTTCGAAATTTTGAACTCAAATCGACGAAATGAAAAGTGTTACCTTTTCATTTTCGTTTTGAGATTTTTGTTTTAATTAAGCCTAAAATACTTGCAAGAGTATTTTTAATAATAGCTGCTTAGCTCGAGAAACTTTTATAGCATGTAAAATTAACAAATAAACCATTTTCTTATTATTTTTTTGTAATTTCGATACTTCAAAGTATTAAACGACAAATTGAGGTTGACATACAGTAGATTGTATCGACTCTACAAATTAGTCGGCTAACACTGTCAAAGAAGGTTCTTTCAATGTCATCTAAAATTTTGCCCTAAACTACCTATATTGTTTCCAAGTAAAAAAACGTTTTCTTAAAAGTAGAGATAAAAAGAACTCACAAACATGACTCATTCCATTCGTTCACGAAAACTGTTTATGGTTCCGAAGTTAATGTGCCTGTTCGAAAATGAAATAGAGTAGAGACACTGGCGAAATTTCGTTTGAAATTCGTTCGTTACCGAAATTTCGTTTCGGAGAAAGAGAGTAGAACTCCTGCTTTATGTTTAAATCTAAAGAAAATATAATGTGGGTCACCTATAATGCGAAGAGATGACGCTGCCTTGCAGCTTAAGAATGGCTAGAGGAATTTCGACGCGGTCCGTGAGGGCCCCGGTAGCATAATTGGTCAGTGCATTCGCCCGGATTGCGAAGGGTGCGGGTTCGAGTCCCGTCTGTTGCCTGGTCCGCGTGGAATTTTTTCTAGTTATATTTTCTTTAGTTATTCATTACTTTTTCGGTTATTATTTTCTTTAATAAATCATTGTACTTGTCCTTTAGTGACACAGGAATATTATTTAGTTCTTTCTTATTTGCCCTACTACATTAATGTTGCATTGATCAGCTTTGGTAAATAGATTGAGAGGGCTCATTAAGTAATAAATTCTAGGGTCTAATATTTCAACTGTTTTCTAATCTCACACCATGTGATTGATGAATGGGGCTAAACACAATAACTGGCCAGATTTGTTACCTTTTAGCTCATTCCCCTTTACGTATCTTGATTCACTGCAACCTATCTCAATTTCAAGGTGATCGGAAAGTCTTAAAGTATTTTGATAATGTTTTTTCCCTAAGAATGGCAATTGGCTTTTTACATGCCCATAATAGTATTTTCTTTATGTGTTGGATTTTGGAAGAATCCATGTTATTGAGTGAGTTGGAATCTTTCTTTTTCTTCTATCTATCTGTATTTGATTATTATAACTACTTAAAAGGCGGATCGATCACGGTCGCCATACGTGTATCTATGCAATAATACGGGTAGTGGATAAATGGTAGTAACAGCGGTTATAGCCACAAGTGAACGATCATCTGGACACAATGCGATTCAACTAAGAATTGGACCGACTGGGCGCCATATTGTGACGTCAAAGCTGTCAATTCAAACCAGTTAGGTAGAGTGAGCAAAGAAGTTTTTTTTAATGAAACTTATTTACCAAGATTAAGTGAGAAAAAATAACAGTTTTTTATGATATTTATTTATTAAGACTGAGTGACCAAAAACATTAATCAGAATCTAGCTGTTTAGTTCCGCTCATCTCTGCACTACCGTCGGAGTAGTTATCATCATCGTCATCATCACTGATGCTTTAAATATCGAATATAGTGGGTTTTAAAACGACAATTTCATTTAAAAACAAAACGGTCTTTTTATTTCCTGTATTAATACCTGTATTATAAAACTAAAGTGCTTAAATTTTGCCTTTTCCATTACTCATTTTCTCTACGTTTCATATGATTTATTTCCTGCTTTTGTTTACAAATGTTTGGTATTTATTCAAGATTAGCGTAGCGCAGTGCTAAAAGAAGGTGTTCCAAGTTTTTTTTGCAAACCGTACTTTTCAAGCGACATTCGACATACGGAGGTCATTGGCTTTCCTATTCTTATTTGAATCGCGTAATACATTGAAATTTGAATTGAAATGAAATTTTAAATTGTAAATACTGTTTCGCCGGGCTTCGTCATACGTAGTCGTATATACTCCATTTCACATTACACACTAGAAGTGTGTAATGTGAAATAACATTAATGAGTTTTGTCAACATCTAATTCCTATAGTCTTGTAGGATGTTAGTTCAGTATTTATTATTTATTATATTATTAGTATGTCGCAAACGCAGAATCAGTGCGTCCTATGATGATGACGTCCTGAAATATGCTTAATACCATGCGTGTCGCGCCACATGCGCCCGACTGAGTCGCAGCTTATACACGTTTACATTTATATACTTATTATAATAAACTAATGTTATTAATGTGCTATATTCTGTTTCAATTCAATTTTGATGATCAAAAATTTGTCAATTGTTAATATCTTACTAATATAATACCTGTATCAATATGAAGTATGCGTAAAGTTCTAAACAACTATCCTTTCCGCATACGAGACGATTTTACTTGTAAGAATAAATGATGGCAGACGGTATCTTTCAAATTGAATGAAAACAGATTATATAATCTTGTTTTAATAAATACGGACTGAGGGTCAAAATGAATGAACGATAAAGTGTATGTAAATAATGACAGCATGCGTGATGTTTTCTAATATTTACAATATATGCGAAGCGAGAGGAGGCAGACGCCGCAGTGCACGGGAATCGTTGCATATTATAATTTATGTGATCAAATTGTTTGTGTGTGTATGTGCTTACCTTGCTGATGACACGATGAGACCGGCACTTGTTGCCTGCCGCCACCCGCGCGCATTAGGGGTTCACACTGGATGCGTTTTTGTTCGAACAGGGCACTGAACCCTTAGCACAAACCAATATCGAATTCGAATAGTTAGCGAGGGTGAAATGTCATTGTCAAATTTTTGTATGGAAACTTGAACAGCAGCGCCACAAAATACGTAACGAGAACTAAAAATCAGTAAACATTTGACAGTGGCATTGTGCACTCGCAAAACTATTCCAATTCGATATCAGTTCGTGCTAGGGGTACTGATATCAAGTTTTTTATTGATCCATTATAATCTGTCTATTGACTCCGTAACAAAGGAATATTTTCCTTCTAAATTTGTTGGTACTTGTCACATTCACACTGTTGAATAACCTTTTCTATTGGAAAGTAATCAATTCCAATCGGTACTATGATCTTGTGCTAACGTACGAACAGTATTTGGACAAAAATACATCCTGAGTGTGTACTCTCGTAGTCCCATCCCCCGGCGCTGTAGCCGACCTCTCTAATACTAACGTGTGATACAACTATCAATATTATAGTGAGTGTTATGTACTATCAATGTAAAATCACGATCCGATTAAAATGGTAACTGAAGTTTATATTGGTTTTTATTTCGTTAATAGTGTTTTAGTTAAGGATATAAGTTATTAAATGAGATAAAAACGAAACTGACTTTCATTTTGCACAATATGCTCTGATGCTTTCTTGAACAGGGATTTATCATATCGAACAATGTGAGGCTCTATAAACCACCTAGACTTTTTTTTATTGAAATTATAACAAATCTTAACATCTTTTTAGATAGTATTAAAGGGTTTAACTCAAATTGTCTAGATCGCAGTGTGACTAGCCTCCATTAAGGCAGGAATTATATCTTAATTAAATAAAAACCTTATAAATAAATATTGCAAAATGGCAAGATATCACTTTGTCTAGATCTTTGATTTGTGTACGTATTTTCCATCGAGCTTGGAAAGCAAAAACTTGATGCAAACAAATATGTGTAGTGAAACACAGTTTTGTGTATACGGTTTTGTTGAATGTTGATAAAATATGTTATCGTTGATTGTGTAGGACAAAACCACGCGCTGTGGACCCGGTTTTATGTAAACTAAATAACTAAAACAATGTGTAGAAAGAAATCATTTATTTTCAATTAAACATATACATCTGCCTAGAAATAAACATTAGTAATTCACAAGGGAGTTTCTTTGTAATAGGACATGATAAAACGGTTTGTAGTTGACTACTAAATCCTGGCCGTAACTTAATAGTATGCGAGAATTCATAGACGCAAAAAAAAACAGTCTTATTTATATGTCGTTTTTGGTTCAATGTCCTAGGACAAGCTCCCAAAACTTATGCCAAATAATGCTAGCAAAAATTATGAAGTTACAAAACAACGAAATTAAATTAAAGAATAAATATTGTCATCACATATTACAAATACAAAAAAAGGTATAATATCACAAACTACTATTGAGTAACATAAAAAAATTCAAAGTTATTATGCAAGTTGTTCTAAATTGTTAACTGTGGTAAAACAGGATATGTCCATTATAGGTTTAGCGAGGAGATTAACTTAAATCTCTAGTAAAAGATATGCTTTCTAGCAACAGGTTGTTATTTTGAACTAATCAATAAAAAGTATCTAGGCAACAAAGATCCAAAACGCCTATCTGCTACTAGAGATAGATTTTCGATACTGACCGTTAGTGGATTAGGAACATGTTCAGATACATGCTACACCTCTGGCCTGATACATATTCGATTTCAATGTTTTGTCACCAACACATCTGGAAGTGATTGAAGAAAAAAAAAGCGAATTCGATCATAGGTTCGAATGATTTGTGAAAGAGACGACCAAAGCAAGTGACAGTCTCCGTTGCGAGTTAACCTCCAAAGTATAAGTATTCTACGGATAAGACAATAAATCAAATTTTTGGTTCGACGCGCGGTGTTAGTCGTGTTTACTTTTAAACAGTACGATGCGAGCTGGGTCGTCAGCTAGTATTCCGTTCCGTTAGATTATGTTCGATTGAACCATTTTGCGATTTGATAAACTTCACTTGCTCCTTGTAAACTTAAAAGTGGGAAAAATATCGTTTTAGGCAATACTTTCATTATCATTAGGATACATTTTTAAACAATCAATCGAACTAACTCTAAAAGATCGGTATTCTAACGAGTTACAATCACGATGCGACACGGCACAGCGCAGAAACAATCAATGCCCTTCCTATCTGAGATCAGTTATTTGCAAAACTAAAATCCGTACGTTAATTTATTATATTATGTTAGTATACTTGATCACTAAAATTATCGTTACATAATTTAACGTTAGTAAATTAGCTACGCCTTCGCCGCCCCATCGCTGCCTCGTCGGCAGTAACTACGTATTGCTGGAGTGGCCGGTGCGTACACAATCCCTCTTATTAATAAACGAAGGAACACCTTAGACTAGTTATGCCATATATAAAACATGGAGTAACTAATCCAAGCTAAATCTTCATTTATTAATAAGGGGGCAAGTTTGTTAATTAGCTAAACGTGATGCGACCCTTGAATCGCGGGATGTAACGTGCTAGCTAAACCATAAGCTCTTAGCTTGCAATGAATATTACATAGGGGGTGACCACTAGTATTAGTAAAAACTACGGGTTAAATTCGTTCAAAAGATCCTTGTACAGGGCATGTCTTAGACATAATTATTACCTTTGAATTCAAATATTACTATCTAGGAAATGAATTCGTATATATGATTTCTAAGTTGCGCAATTGCTTGATGGAGTAAATTCGGAACACAAAGCACACTTACATTATATTTAGGCATATTAAAATATTCATTATTGGATGATCAATTGAAGCCAATATTTAGTTATTTTTGTTAGTTTGTATATGTAATCAAATCCCCGTTTCTATAGAAATCAACCTAATATTAACAATTTTTTATACCATTATAAAATACAAAGTGATTTTTCTATACATAAATAGGTTCTATAAAACATATGAAACACTAGATTTGTCTAATTAAATCCGTCCCCTATTTTCACATTTCTCAAGAGCGAGAGAGAGCGAGGCAACATAGTTAAGTTATTAAGCAGCTCTTAATTTTACAATTAGTTAAAAAACTAAGATCCGGTTCTGATAAGCCTATTGGAAATGGCCGAAAGATATATTGATTTAAATCTGTGCTGCGGACTACATATATTAATTAATTCCTCCGCGTGTACATTAAGCTATCTAATAGATGTGTAGTGGAGACCGTGCGTGCGCATTAGGGACATGATTATGGTATATTTTTTGCACTAAAAATATACAACTATTAGTGATTGATACAAGTATTACTTATACTAAGTTACTATTTGTTTTCGTGTACAATTTGTTTTCGTGTACAATTTGTTCTGAGTTTTGTGAGAAAATATGTTTGCGACATGTTTCTCAACAATTTGAGGATGTTGTTGCAGACGGTTCGCATTGATTTTATGTGCAACATAATTATGGTAATATTGAGAAAATTATATACTAGTCGATGTAAAAATGATAAAGAGAGCATTTGGTAACTGTCAGAAAATCGTTGCAAGGGAGAATGAACCTAAATTAAATTTGCGATTCAACTGTACGGACCATATTTTCGCGGACGAGCGTACTTTAATTATTATTATTTTACAGTTGCCCGAAAAATATATATAATATCAATAGTTTTTCAGAGTATGAAAACTTATCGACTTGAAGGTTTGAAATTTTCAGACGAATTATTTTGAATTCACATCGTTTTCACTATTAACCTAGAAAATTATAGAATATCTATGGGGTTTCTCTATGTTCGAATGAGTAAATAAAAGATTTATCAATGGTTTTAAAGTTCCGTACCTCAATCGGTAGAAACGGCACCCTCACCGCCTTATTCAAAAACGCGGACTTAAGTTAGACTTGGTTTAAAAACCTAATGTTGTCTCTGTCTGCTTTTTAGTAAACAAATGTGCCAACATCAGCTTTAGTCTAAGTTCAACTTTAGTCTTCGTTCTGTAATAAGACGGTAATAGTATGAGGAGCTGGCGAACAAAACGGTATCATTACATAAAATTGAATTTTTACAGGAGCTGTAAAAAACTGAACGACATACCTACAGTGAGCTTTTGTCGTGATTTTTAATTTAGTAATTTTAACACTATTTTAAGTGGTTTTGATTGACATAAGTTGAAATTCAAATTCAACTGGCCCGAAACCCACGGGCTGTAAAATAAAAGTTGTATATGGTCAAAACCATATGCGTAATTATACCGTTTTGTTCGCCAGCTCCTCAGTTCTGAAATGATAATTTATCAATTAATTTTTTCAGTGTATGAATGAGGCGGTTATAATTATTGAAATACTAGTTTTTCGACGATTTTTTCATGTGTATGAATGTGATTGATTGCGTACGCGCAGTGTTTTCGTTCGTCACAGTTGTTTTGGGGGAGGGGGATCGATCGGGGCTATACGAAGCTGATGTCAGCCGCACTCTTGTCTCTGCAGCGCTACAGACACCTTGTACAGGCTCTCCATCATGAAGGACAGGTTCTGGGACAATTCGTTCACGGGCCGCGTGATCGCCACCATATCTGTGCAGGATAATAATAATTATCAGTCAGCTTATATGTCCACTTGCAGCAATTCTGCTAAATCTCGATTCCACTAAAACTAGCTTTATTAAATAGGAAAATTTAAAAAAAGCCAATTTTGGTTTGACATTATTGTATGGGCTAAATTTAATATTAGTTAAATTGAGATTGCGTCGCAATACATTTACGAACATTTAATATATGTAAAAAAAAACTATGATGCATTTGCAAAAAAAGTCAAACCCATAACTTTAACACGAGATTTAAGAACAAGCTTGCCGTTCCATGTTTCAGACTCCAAAAATCAAGAGGTTCATTTCTGGGTTGTAGTATTGCATTGTTTAATAAAGTTCCCCTAGATCTGATTGAGCTTCCACTGACTAAAGGACATCGACGGAATCGGCCCTAGCATGCCCAAAAGAATGTCCTTCACTATTATTTTTCTATTATTTTTTTAAATTATTAGCAATAAATCATAGTAAACAGACAATCTGTTTAAAGAAATAAAAAAAAATGGTTGCCTGTAAAGTCGGTTTTACGGGCGAAGATTTTACGTGACAACGTCTTTTTCTCGGTAGAATATTTATTGATATGAATATAATTAAATTGCACAATAGGAACAAGGAATTGAATGAAAATAAGAATTGCACAAATTTTAACTATAGAAATATATTTTGTTTACTAAAACATTGTACATGTAAACTTAAACTTAACACGAGAGACTCATCGTAACGTTACCGAGCGTTACACTTTTTCATAAGTGACTCCCAGCCGCAACCTAATTTAAGACGTTGTCACGTCAAAATAAAAGTTCTGTTACTAGATACTACAGTCTGTTCATCAACTTGTCCTATTTGGTAAACAATCTAAGCACTCCTTTTTATTGAAAATACAGCATTAAAAATCAACTGATAACTGGATTCAATAGGTTTCAGTCTATAATAACGATTTATTTTAATAGTTTATTGGCTTGGTTAATATTTTATTATTAAATGGGTGATTCTGTTAAAAAGTT